CCGCGAATGTCTTCCTTGTGGACAGTGTAAATCCGGAGAAGAAGGCCCAGTGGGCGGCGTCACTGCAAGGTGGCACATTGATTCGCAGACAGTCCTGGAGCCACAGGCACCCGGAATTTTTGCGCTGCACTTCCGGAGAGGCACTGCTGAGAAGTGCGTTTTGCACATGACGCCAGCTTTCACGGAAAAAACCCTTCGGTGAGCAGTTTCCTGCGCGGCGTGGTCTTACCCGCTGACCCCGGATCGGCGTGGACATTGTCTGATGAGCCCAGCAAGGCCAAGGTTGTGCTCTGCATTTCAAAGGAGATGAAGGCAATGAAGAAGCGGGGAAGAGCAACTTGTACAGCCGAGGACCTACTGATCAGAGTCGCCCGGCGGAACTTGTGCCCAGCAATGTCTGGTCGTTCCTAAATTTCAATACTTAGGTCAGAGTCAAGGGGTTTGGACGAGCAGCTGCTTGTGGAGGGGAGACGCAGAGCACGGTGAACAGCGTTGCTTCCGGACTTGTAGGATTTTTTGTTATGTTTGAGGTGCTAGCCTGGTATAAGCCTCGATTCGTCTAGGTCTATTTATAAAGAATATATGGTTGATGTTACACGGGGCGTGCGGGATGACGTTATACGGGTGTGCAAAGGTCTAAGAAACAGCGTTGCCTACTGTCCTAGGATTTTGGGTTATGTTTAAGGGGCTAGCCTGGTATAAGCCTCTAGGTCTAAGATTTTATAGTATGCAGGGTATGGTTGACGTTACACGGGGCGTGCGGGATGACGTTATAACGGGGCGTGCAAAGTTTGACATTATAAGGGCGTGTCTGTCCAACTCGGCGCGTAAGGACACTATGGACTCCATAGTGTCCTTACGCAGAGCCGGACCGGTCCGGCGGCGCGTAAGGACACTAGGGCGGTCAGCGTCCGTAACCGCCTAGTGTCCTTACGCAGCCGGTGGTAGCGTTCACTAGTGTCCTTACGCAGCCACGGACCGGTCCGGCGGCGCGTTGGGACACTATATAGTGTCCTTACGCAAAAAGTCGGACCGGTCCGCCGGCGCGTAAGGACACTAGGGGCCGCCACGTACGGGCGTGCGGGGTGACGTTATAACGCGCGTGCGGGGCTCTTACGCATCGCCGGACCGGTCGCCGGGCGCGTAAGGACACTAGGGGCCGCCGTTTCGTGACGTTATATAAAGGGCGTGCGGGGCTCATTACGCATCGCCGGACCGGTCGCCGGGCGCGTAAGGACACTAGGGGCCGCCGTTTCGTGACGTTATAAAGGGCGTGCGGGGGTGACGTTATGCGGGCGGGCGTGGCTTCCGGTCGCCGGGTGCGTCTTGTAGTAAGTAAGGACAATATAACTAGGGGCCGCCGTTTCGTGTTATAACGGGCGTGCAGGGTGACATTATACGGGCGTGCGGGGTGACGTAATACGGTGGTTCTAGGGCCGTTTGGTTATCGAATTATTCTTTAAAAGGTTTTGATTTGGGTTGAGTTGTGGGCTGTTTAGGCTGAGGCCAGGGGCTTAATTAGGGTCTCAGTTCGCGGAGCCTAGGGGTCAGAACCTTGAACCCTGAACCTTGAATAATTTAGAGTTATATATGGAGGGTTCGCCGCATGTTGGCCCGACGTATACGTGGAACATTGCATGACTGTGATTGCAGGAAGTTGTTTAAATAATTTAGAGTTATATATGGAGGGTTCGCCGCATGTTGGCCCGACGTATACGTGGAACATTGCATGACTGTGATTGCAGGAAGTTGTAGACAGGGCGAACCCGGTACCTGCCATGGTAGCCTTGTTTAAAAAGAAGCGGCGAAAGCGCGCGCCAGCAGAGACGGTGAAGGAAGGCCAAAGTGTCGAGGAGTTACAGAAAATTCTGAAGGACTTGGCGTCGGATCCGCAAGTTGTTGCCCGTAGAGATGCCCCGCCAGTGGTCTTACCCAGGCGAAAGAGGCTGCGTCTTTACAGCGACTGCGCTGGCATGGGTTGCGATCTTGTGGCGCTGAGCTTGTGCGGCCTCGCGAAGCATTGTCATTTGGTCGGTTGGAGTGAGATAGACGAAGGAAAGAAGAAACTGCACGACTTGGTGCGCCAGTACCTGCACTTCCCGGGTGAGGAGGCAGAAGGCCCGGTAGACATAAGCACCAGAGATCATGAAAGGGCTTCTTCGTGCGATTTTTATGTGGGAGGCTTTCCGTGCCCTAGCTTCAGTTCACTGGGGAAACGCGGCGGGGACTCGGAATTTCGAGGACAGCTGACGTACCACGGCCTGATTTACATTTCACACCATCAGCCCCGAGTAGTTGTGCTAGAAAATGTGCAGGGACTCCTGCAGAAACGTCACGCTGGCCTCACCAATTGCATGAAAGAGACTCTGGCAAATTTGGGGTACAAGGTTTACTGCAAGACACTTAACACCATGCACTACGGAATACCACAAAGTCGACCACGAGTCTATATCGTTGCAATCCAGCAGAAGTACAAGAAGCGCAAATTCCGCTGGCCAAGCCAAATCAAGCACTCGAAGAATGCACTCGGGTTATGTCTGGATTCTTGGAAACAGACTCCGGAACCACAAACAGACTCCGGAATATTAAACGTCTACACACCAATGTTGAGCACCTCTGGGTAGGTCCTTGGAGCTGTTGCCCCAGGCATATATTTTAATGTGAGTGGGTAGCTTTCGGATCCTGTGCATTTTCGACGAAAAATCAAACATGTTTCGTATAAATTCGAAAAACCAAAGACCGGACAAAAGAAACAAACAAAACACAAAGGCTTGAATGGTGAGGTGATTCAAAATCAAAGAACGTTCCGACGAAGATGAATTTCGCTTTGGGCAAATGATTGAACCCGAGCCTGCAACCAAACACATCATATCATATTATCTCATCTATGCATACATACATACATACAGTTATATATATATATATATACATACACGGGCATTTTATCGTCTCGAGTATCATATGAGGCAATTTCCCGCGCTTTGCAGCAGCGGCAGCCGTAACCAAAACCCGGAGCTTAAAACCATAACCCATAAACTTTCCAAGCCCTAAGCCTTAAGCCGCCGGTAAACCCAAAACGGCCTAGGACTTAGAACTAGGCGCTAAAGTTGGTGCTGCAGAAGTACCACTTAAAGGTGCTGCCGAAGTACCTGTCCTAAATTAGGTCTTGGCTGCCTTTATCGGCTTAAGATGGATTTAGGATTTAGGGTTTTTAACTTTAGGCATAGGTGTTAAACTTAGGATAAAACGGTGCTGCATAAGTACCGTGTGGGTGCTGCGGAAGTACCCAGACTACAGCTAGCCTTGCTCGCTGATGTTAGACTATAATTAACCGACTTAGGATAAAGCGGTGCTGTCTAAGTACCGTGCGGGTGCTGCGAAAGTACCCTAACTCGCTTATGTTAGACTATAACCGACTTAGGATAAAGCGGTGCTGTCTAAGTACCGTGCGGGTGCTGCGAAAGTACCCTAAAAGCTATAGATCTAACCTTGCTCGCTTAAGCTATCTCAGGATAGTTTTAAGCTAAGGACAACTAGGAAACGGTGCTAACCTTGCTCGCTTAAGTTAGCTTTGGATCGCTTAAGCTGAAGATAAATAGTAGACGGTGCTGTCTAAGTACCGTGCGGGTGCTGCAAAAGTACCCTACAACGTTAGAGCTAGCCTTGCTCGCTTATAATAAGGTCGTTTTAAGCTTAAAAGGACTAAGGATAAGCGGTGCTGCCTAAGTACCGAGTGTGGGTGCTGCACAAGTACCCCTTAAATCTAGGCGACTGGTTTCGCTTAACATCGCGCTTGATCTGATTTCAGCAGATGAGCAAGTATTTAGTTCCCGAAGCAAGAAAATACACTAGTTAGTTTAGGGGTGCCACGCTGGATTCTTAGTGATGGGGCAAGATAATGTAGAAAATAACGCGGTGCTATGTAAGTACCGTGTCTGGTGCTGCGGAAGTACCATGAGCATAGCTTCATACGTATACCGTACAAATTAAGCACTAAGGATAATGGATGTGTTCTAAGACACCGGGTGCCCTTAAGTTTAATTTGTTGTAAATAAACGGTGGTGCTTAGGTACTGTTAACGTGGTGCTGCTGAAGTACCATAAGGGTGGTATTGTGTGAAGCTCAAAGCCTCAGGGTCTCAGGATATACTAAAAATTTAGGGTCTGCCCCTCTTTTACAACTGAACCTCATATGTATCCCAAACTATTTTTGCAGTAGCAAACTTCAAATAAGCTTGAACATACGGCTAGCAGCTTTACTCCTCCCTGCCTTCCGAAGCTACGTGCATTTCGGCGGCGCGGTCTCAGTGCTATCCAAATCTTTACTCGTAAACCCGACCCTGAAACCTCAGCTTACCCACAAACCTCAAAGGGTTGGACCCTTAAGAAGGACAGTCCTGGACTGGGCGCAGACCGAAGGTGTCTGGCACTCGGAAGTCGGGCCTGAGCTGTAATTGAACATTGGAACAATTATTAGGCTCAAAAGTTGGTGTGCTCAGATGATGACAGCTGACGGTCTGCTGGATGTATTTTGTGCATACGACGCAAGAAGTAGGCGAGAAGTGGTTGATTGAAGGAATAGCGCTAGAAGATGACGTTGCTGATGCTGTTGCTACACATACCACTGCAACTATGAGTTATCGAATGCTATTGCTAACCAATAATATCACTTCTCCCTTGGCGGCGTCTGTTCAGCTTGCTCTACTGGCCCGGCATGGCCCACAGTTTCGGCAACCTGCTATTTGGTTTAGACTTAGCTTCCATGATGAATTATGATGACATCCCCGACACCGTGGCCATTGCCAGCTCTGTGCGTGGCCGTTGCCAGCCCCGAAACTCACTCCTCAGGACGGCCTGCTTGGGCCAGGAAAGCACCTGGCCGTGAGAATTCATTGATAAGACCGACGCCCAAATACGATCAATCAACGTGGCCGCACCCTGCCTTTGCTCAGGCTGGGCTCGTTGGGCTGGGCACCTGTCGTCTGATGGGCTCTGTCGGAACTAAAATGAACCAGCAGTCAACGTGGCCAGGCGGACGTCCGTGGGGACCATAGAAGGCGCCGCAGACGGGCTTCGCGCTCGATCCTCGAGGCAAATGGAAGTGAATCTCACGACTACCGGGACATCAGATTTCGGCGCCTGCTCCATCTTGCGCCTCTTCGGGCCAGGCCCTGCTGAGGGCTTACTCGGCCGGTCCTGGGCAGATTCAGCAGTGTTGAAGGCTGAACAAGGATACCAGTCGTTGTTTCGAGCCTTGCTGCTTCCAGCACCAGATTTGCGGGCCTGCAAAATGTGACAAATGATTGTCGTCGAAATCTCAATTCTGATCGAGGCTCGAACCAACTCTTCCAAGGTCACATCTTTCTCGATGGCCTTTCAGTTTCAGGCAGCGAAAGGCTATATATATATGTAGCTTGTGCAATAATTCAATAGAAGCCGGTGCCTCTTCCATCGGCATCGGCGCTGCTTTCGTCTTGGCAGGCACCACCTTTGCCGGGGCCGCAGCCTGCCAAGCTCGGGTAGTAGAGTCATATAGTCGTTCCGTTACTATGATGTGAGGCACCTTGGGCTGCTTCGGATCCACCTTCTTCCTGGGCTCTTTGGCTTGCGATGCCTCCCAAGTTGAATTCTTGAGATTTTTTTCGCAGTCCTTTTCCCACTCTCTCACTCTCTTTTTCTCTCTGAGCCTGAGTCTGCAGGGCTTTGATCGTCGCGTCCTTCTGCAGCAGCTCCTCCCGCAAAGCCGTCGCCTCACGGCTTTGCTCCCTTATCTCCTTCTCCTTGTCCGTGAGCTGCCGCACATGCTCCTTCACCAGCTGAGCACGCCGCTCCTCCGCCGCGGCCTGCTTCTCCTCCAGCATCACCTTCATTTGCTGCAGATTGTCCGCCGTATTTTTCTCCAGTCTCCTCTGGAGCTCCGCCCGGCCTGCCTCAGCCTGCTCGTAGAGCTGCTTGTACTGCCCACTTTGGCCCAAGTTTGGCAAGCTGGCCAAAAGCTGGTTGTGGGCAGTGGTCACCTGGAAGTTCGCCGCCTCGAGCTGGGAGATCTGGTCCTGGAGCAACTTTATCTTGTGGCCATGGTCCGTCTCCATCTCGGCCATCTTGCCCTTCAGCTCCGCATTCTCGGTGCAGGTGGTCTCCAGCGCTGCCGTCATCGTAGCCAGCTCGACTTTGACGTCGCTGAGCTTCTCAGCCATGCGCTCCCAGGATCGTCCCGCCTCCCTGCTGACCTGGCTTGGCCTGTTTGGCCGTGAGCCCCGCTTCACCGGCTCGGCAGCACTCATCATTGCCTTGGGCTCTTGCGCCGCTAGCTTCGCCGACGCTTCCTTGGCAGCAGCATTCATCTCCTCCTTGAGCTTTTGCCCTTCCTCTGCCCACCGCCTCGGCGGCACTGGAGGCGGGCCCATCTCGCTGTTCATCTTCGGGCCTGTCGGCTTTGCTGCAGCAAAACGTGGAGGAATCGTCTTCGGCGGAGTCAGAGCTCTGGGAGGAACGCCCTCTTTCTTTGCCGGCGGAGGTGGTCCCATCATGCTTCCCTTCATGCTACGGTTAGCTGCCACGTCGTGCTACTGCTGCCGCTCATGCTGCTATTGAAGAGTTGCCGTGCCCAGTGCTGTTGCTTATGCTTGGCATCGTCGCCGTCTGATCTGTGCTTGCCTTACATGCTCTTCTTCTGGAGCCCATACTGAAACTCGTCTGGAAACTGGCGAGTCAATAATTCACGACTTAAGCCTGCTGAATTGTCACCACTGTCCAGCTTCTAGTCAACTGTTCCGCACGCTGTTGATGTCCGAGGCATGGACCCCAGCTTCGGGCGACTCGGCCACGAGCCTGACTGGCCAGTTCAATTTCTGATGCTTAGGGTTTAGGGTGTTTCGGGTTTAGAGTTTAAAGTGTAAACTCCTGCTGTGGATTCGGATGATATTGCCCTCGGCTTTTGCGGGATCGGGGTGTGAAGGGTCTTCAGGTGCTGACTCAAGTACCTGAGCTATAGGTGCTGCGAAAGTACCTTTGAGGTCGAAGGTTCGGAGGCCTTGTCTTGTGTCTCAGTTCAACAGGCCTTGGTTATTGGGATTTTAAACTTGAGCTCTCCGTATAAAACTCCACGAAAACCCGAAATAAACCCTGAACGGCGATAAATGGATTTGAACTACCACAGCCAGAAACCCTAAAGCCCGTAAATGGACAAAGCCGAACAATCGAAATCTAACCTGTGGCTCCAAAACCCTGAATTACATTAGGTACTGGTGCAGCACCTTCCCCAGTGTATAAACCACGTGGTACTTCGGCAGCACCACAATCCCTAAAACCTACAGCGCCAAAGCCTAAACGCCAAACCCGAAACACCCTCAACCCATGCTGCGGGTTCATTCGAGCCCATGCCTCAGGCATTGTTAGCTGATCATGGATGTATCCACGACTCATACTGCCGCACTGTCGTCCCGAAAACAATGGGTCCTATGCAACACCTCCCGATTCTTGTTAGTTGTTCCGAAAATCAGCTGATGTCGCCTGGTTTCCGAGGCCTGGGCACTTCGCTTTGGCCACAGTCGGCCACGAACCTGGCTCACTGTTGCTCAAGTGCTGGGGCCGCGCAGGTTTTAGGGGTTGTGGTGGTTCGGGCTTAGGGTGTTAATTTGGGGTTTCGTTTAGAGCTCTTGCTGGGGGTTCGGATGAGTGGGCTTGGGTTTTTGTGGCTTTGGGGTCTAGGACCTCGGACATTCAGGTGCTGACTCAAGTACCTGGGTTAGGTGCTGCAAAAGTACCTCTGTAGTCGAAGGTTCGAGGGCCCAGAGCATGAGTTCAAGATTGCTGAGGCTTGGGATTTTACTTTCTCTCTCTCTCTCTCTCTCTCTCTCTCTCTCTCTCTCTCTCTCTCTCTCTCTCTCTCTCTCTCTCTCTCTCTCAAAGCTTGCTGATCAGGGACTCTCTCAGGTACTTGTGCAGCACCTTTCGTAGAATCATGCGGTAATTCGGCATCACCACAATCCCTGAACCCCATTAACTGCATTAACTCCTCCTTCGTCAGTCCTACAGTAGCGGTCCGAGCAGCCTGACAAGAGAGGACTTAATGAAACTGAGTATTGATTCGGTGAGAAGAAACCAGCACTGCAGCAGGCTGCACCGTGGGCTCGCCTGCCTTGATGCTCTGTGAGGTCGCTCGCCTGCAACACAAGGCGCGAGGAAGTGGGCTAGACAAGGTCCAACACGTAACTTCAAAACCTCATTACGATCGACAAACTTACAGCTACAGATATGAATCAGTAGCTCAGAGGAGGAATCAGTGGTCGATTTCTGCAGGCCCTGTCGGCATATCTTTCGGGCGGCAGCATTCTACCACTTATTGCAATTTTGGTTTGGAGAACTACTTATAGCCTAAGCAATAAGTAGTGGCGTTCCCATCATGTTTCTGCCCTGGTCCTCCCATGCATGGAGATTCGTGCCCGTGGCTCTCGCACTCGGCCTTTGGATTGCACAAGACACTGGCTTCAAGAGATACTGATACTTAATGGTTGTGAGGCAAGCCGTTGTCACGGAAGGTAGGCCCGACCGATAGGCTAGGCCAGAGATGAATGAAGAGGCTAATAGATATGGATCAATCACTGCCAAGGTAAACAGCACAGTAGCCTTGGTGCAAAACAAAGACTCCTGCAGAACTAGCTAGAAGCCCCTTGATAGTTTCAGTTTCTCACGATGATGTTTCCACTGGGTCGCGCAGCACAGCGCACCGACAAGAGACCTTTGCTTGCCGAACTCCCTGATTATGCCGTGGCTCACAACTTTGGCTTGGAGCAGCAATCCGCTGGGTCGCGTGACGACCACCAAGCATTGGACGCTGGCATCCGCGCTAATGGGCTCATGATCCGGGAGACGATCGCGGATGGTGATTGCGGGTTGCACGCCATTCTTCTTAACCTTCAGCGGTTACGGATTCAGACGGAGCCTGCAGCTGGCATCTTGTCCCTTCTTGAAAAGAAGGGTTTGGACTCTGCGTGCCAGGCACTGCGCCTCAACCTAGTTATCTGGCTGAGGGATCATCAGGCGGAGGAGCTGATGCCGGATACCAGTCTTTCTGACTGGGTGCAGATGGACGGCTACAGCAGTTTCAGTGCTTATATGAAGCATATGAAAGTGGCCAAAACTTGGATTGATAGTCCGATGCTTTATGCAGCATCTGCTGTGTTTCTGCTTCAATTCGTCATCTTCCTGGACGACGGTCGGGGTCATTTGCTGGCCGCCCAGGTGGTTCAGCAGCAAGAATCGGGCCATGTAGCATTGATGACTAACATCGGGAGATGTCACTTTCAGGCATTGCAGCCGCTTCCTCCCGAGAATTTCTCTCTATGTTCAAGCACTGCAGACGATTTACGGCTGTACGTGCCGGAGACACAAGATGATGCTGAGTCTGCTGAGGACTCTGCATCGGATGCGACGGATGGAGAAGCCACCCCTGTGCCTGAACAGAACAGTCATGCTGAAAAGACAATTCGAATGTGCCAGGCACTTATAAACTGGGACCCTTTTGCTTCTACCTGTGATCCCCAGCTTCCTGACCTTCTGAAGTCGCTGGAGAATACCGATGAGCCATCGGAAGCATTGTCGCAAACATTGCAATGGAGGGCCGCAGTCAAACTTCTGCAGCATGAGGAGTTCGACAGAGCAGAAGTTGATCGATCCTTCCATCTGGAACTGGCAAGGATCAATGTCCTTAAAAGGACAACCCCGGCTGGACAAAAGATGTTATACGTGAAATCCCGGACTTTGGGGCCCAAGCTGACACTGCCAGCCATCAAGAAAAGCCTGGTGCCTCCTTGCCACAAGAACAACACATGCCATACCTGTCTAGACCCCTTCCGGAGTTGCCCGAAACTGGTCTTGCGTTGGCGAAAGATGTGGTACAGCCTGCCGAAAGCGGACAGACAGGAACGTCTCGAGCGGTTTTTTGCAACAGCGAAGCAGCAGCAGGAAGCGGAAGGACAAGATGAATTCCGAATGCCTTTCAGTGTTTTCGGACAGAGCGTCTGCAGGGATGCGTTCATACGCATCACAGGTATCCATGCACACACGCTTCAGAGAGCTCGATCGGCTGCTGTGGCTGGTGTTTCGCACCAGTCCGAGATCGCTGCGTGGCGATCGCGCAGGGCACCGGCCTACCTCGATTGCAGAGCCTGGCTTCTCGATTATGCCCGTATCCACGCTGACACCAGTCCACTGAACTCCAATCTTTGGTTGCCCTATGCCCGCAAGCACTTCTTCTACTGGACATACGTCAGCGACTGCACCTTGGCATTCATGGGATAAGGCAATAGCACGATTAATGTGGCAGTTGCACCTGTGCATGCAGAGCCCGTCATCATGATATTGTGTATGGTCCGGGATGGAATAGAACATGTTCTCTGATCTTAGCTTCAAAGTTTCGTGCGACCTTGCCATGCGTCGGTCTAGGCTTTTTGGTGTCATTGCTTCTTTTTCGGCTTTGCTAGTTGTTTGCGCGAGATTCACCCTAGCACAGGATAGAAGAGAAATCGTACCGAAACCAGCACCACAATAGTCAGTCGTAGCGGCCCCGACCGCCACCGCAACAACAACCACCAGAAAACGACGCACAGCATCTCAGGCAGACACCAGCAGAAACCATTGGAGGAAGTGGCGGGCTTGAAGTACTTCCTCAAGGTTTGGAGGACGGAGCTCCCGTGGATAAAGCGCCGACCTACAGCTGGCCCCTTCACCCACTGCGGTCTGTGCGATTATCTGAAGTGGACGATGGCCCGCTGCTCGGACAGAGGCGGCCGCGAGAAGCTGGCGGGCCTGCTTGGGGAGCACTTCAAGTTCCAGGCCGCGCAGCGTGTCGCGATGTCGCAGCTGTTCAAGGAGAGTGAGGCGCGCCCTGATGAACTGATTGCAGTGGCATGGGACAAGATGGACCAGGCGAAGACCATCGTGCCACGTGTTGTGTCATTGGCCAACACACAGTTCATGAAAGGCGGTGCTCGCCTGGTGGTTTCCTTGATTGGCGTTCTCGCACCCTGTCTCTTCAAGCAACCCCTGCTGTACACCATTCTGGAAGATCAGGTGCACGGCGGCGACATGGTGGCTAGTTTGATGCTAGATGTTCTCGAGGAAGCTGTGGGCATCAAGGGGCAGCTGCCAACGAGGTTCTTCATTCAAGCCGACAACACTGTCAAGGAGACGAAGAACACGATTGCATTGTTTGCAGCGGCGTGGCTACTGATACAGCTCAAAGGCACGAGGCTGACCTGCATTGAATTTGGCTACTTAGTTGTGGGTCACACCCACGACTTGATAGATGCCATGTTCGCATACATCTCGAAGGCTCTGGCTGGACGCGACTTCTACAGCGTTGATGAGATGATAGGCATTCTGCAAAACAGCATGAAGAATCCGCCTTTCTGGAAACACTTGCGCGACATTTACAGCTTCAAAGCTGCTCAGCCTCACAGCCTTAGCAGCAAGAGGGTGAAGGGCATCTCGCAGCCCAATAATGTGCGCATCTTTTGGGGTCCTGATGGCAATCTGCTTGTCCAGTCCAAACATTGGCTGACTTCCGAATCTTGGGGCGAAGCGTTGGTCCTGTTGGATCAGACAGAGGTCACTCGAGTGGGCCACCTGTATCCCGACATTGTGGAGCCTGCATGGGACGAATCTTTCTTGAGAACTTCAGAAGGTTTCTTTCAGAAGTTGGAAGACTTGTTTCTTGGCGTGAGATCGGAAAAGTTGTCGGTTGGTATTGTTAGCTTTTGTGCTTGCATTCAATCTTTTGCAGCAGGGCCAGGTTTGTTCAGTATCACTGTTTGGCCCTCCCTCCGAAAGCCAAGGTTGTCTGCAGCTTCGTTTTCGACGGATGGTATCCAGAAGTGCCGAGCCTTGTTGAGACACGAGAACCCGTCCTTCATGCCGTCAGGGCGAACACTTGGAGACCGCGTGATCGCATTGCGAAGACGCATAGACTCCAATCCGGCACGGCCAGCAGCGAGTGGCTTCTCAGAAGGCCTTCGAAAAGCAATGGCAGCTGCGTTTCCTGGATCTTCAGCAAGTGTCCGCGACGGGAAGACTGGACTACTCACAATTGCCGGGGCAGAGAGCTCGGACCAGATGGGTTTTTGCCAAGACGAGCTGGAAACAGGCATGATCGTGCTCTTCTCATGCACGAGGCACGCAGACTTGCCGTGTCGCGTCGGCAAAGTGCTCCGAATTCTGCGCGAGTTCGGTTCTGACCCCACGGCTGTTGTGGAGACTTGGCATCCTGTAGTTAATCCAAGCAAATATGATCGCGTCCATGTTTTTGCTGCATGGGCCCCAGCTGGCCGTGATGGAGCTGCCGAGGGTTCGAAACGCAAACGAAGCAGGCCAGAGCTACCCTTGCGCACAATTCCCCTGGGAGATGTTCTTGTTTGGCCGCTGGATTTGGAAAAGAAGGAAGATCAGGAGCAATCGGACCAGAGCGGCAAGGTGCCCTTGCCGGCTTTTCATTTCATGCGCGAGGTGCGCATGGTAGATGTGAGCCCAAAGCGCTTTAGTTTCAGCAAGAGAGGGCAGGCCTTCTACCGAGAGGTCGTGAAGCGCACTGCGGAGTACATGCGTGCCGGGGAATAAATTGCTTGATGCAATGTCAGATTTGGTTTTATCAGTGCGTGCAGATGAAACTACATAACAGTAATGATCTGATCTCCCCTTTGCTCCTTGCTTCAGGGTTCCCGGCCTGGACAATCGTGTATAGGAGCAGCCCAAGAGACCTGCCGCTGAGCAAGTGGTGTTTCTTCAGTTTCGCAACGGCTGCTTGTGGTGAGGTTGCCTTTCTTGTTCCTGTGGGTTTATGGGGTCAGAGATTTGAGGTTAGCCACTTGATCAGCGGTTCCTGTGGGTTTATGGGGTCAGAGATTTGAGGTTAGCCACTTGATCAGCGGTTCCTGTGGGTTTATGGGGTCAGAGGTTATTCATACTTTGAGGTTAGCCACATGATCAGCGGCATAATCATGTCTTCAGGTAGACTGCCCCCGTGAGTCTCGCAAAGACCGCTGGCCAAAGAAATTCGGGCCCCAAACCCTAACCTCGAAGTCTGACCAGGGCCCCTATTTGTGGAACAAATCGCCGTTTGACTTCTGGTTCGTGATGAGTTCAAGCCTGGAAGCATGCTGCCCGATGCTCAGGCACTGGCGCAGACATCATCTTGCAGGCCTGGTCAGGAGGGCACTGTTCGTCCGAATCACTAGTCTTATAGAAGAATGTGACAGAGGCTCTCAGCTGCTGACGGCTTTTTCGGTTTCACGGTATGTGCGCGTGCATTAGCGGCGTTAGCTGTATCACTGGCTTCCGGTCTCTGAGAGAGCTAAGTCCGTCGTGAAGAAGCACATGTTCATTTAGACATTCAACACGGCGTTTGCCCACGTCGAGGCTTGGGAGTGGCTCACGACCTTACCCTTGGCAGTTGAGATACCTTTCTGGAATAGCTTCTCGCAGATCTTCGCCAGGTCACCTTTCTTGATCGCCTTGTCTTTCAAGACACTGCGGATGACTCCTTTAATGACTTTGCCTTCTTTGCCTTCCAATCGATTCGGCTTGCCACCCAGCTTGGGAGAGCCCTGCATAGTGACCTTCATGGACTTCTGCAGATTGATGTCTCGTCCCTTCTTCAAGCGAGTGACAGTCTCACTTCTGTGAAACTCCGAAATCGATCCAATAAGCTGCCGGACCAGTGTTGTGTGAGGAGAGTCGTCTTCTAAGAAATGATCAGGGTTGGATGCAGAGATAGCAGAGAAACCCATGTCTCGCAGCAGGCTCAGTGCCAATTCCTGCACCACCACACACCGTGCCAGTCTAGAGGCATCTTCGAAAATAATTTTGTTGATGTTATGCTCCTTGGCATAATCCAACATCTTTACGAACCCCGGCCTTTTCTGCACAGGCGTCGTGCCCGAGACGCCGATATCCTCGAAAAGGCCAGCTCGATTCAGTCGAAGTGCGCTCCTTTTCGTGTACGCTCTGATGACCGATTCCTGCCTCTGTAGACTAGTTTTCCCGTCCCCTGAGTTCGCCCTGGATGACACGCGCAAGTACCCGACAGCTTTCATGGCTTCACAACAGCCCCAGCTTCCTAAATATTAGTCCATGCTAATGTATTCAAGGCAATCGCTTGCTTGAAGCACGCTAATTTCCTGTAACAAGTGAAGTCTCCTGAAGACCGCACCACTCAAAATTAATGAGGCGCAGATAAACTCTTTAGGAAGATGTCAAGGCTGAGCCAGATTCGCAGAATGCTGGGATTGTAGTGCTCACACTATGAACGCGATACCCTCAGCCGCAACCTAAATTACAATGTCCAAAGCCTTTGCGAACATGTACATGAATTGACTGCAGGAGCACAGCCGTGGTGGGAACTCAGGGCGTAAAATACTTTAGTAGGTGTGATCGGGACGTATGAATGCCACGGTCAGCCCCATCACACCCCACACCCCCAAGCACGGGAACGGAAACACGAATGGTGACCATGATGATGCGTGCGTAGACTGCACGTGCGTGCTTGACACTGTGCAAGGCTACCATGCACCACAGCCTGCGCCAGAGGCAGGGACACCTCACCGCTTCAGAGAGCCCGATCGGCTGCTGTGGCTGGTGTTTCGCACCAGTCCGAGATCGCTGCGTGGCGATCGCGCAGGGCATCGATTGCAGAGCCTGGCTTGTCGATTATGCCCGTATCCACGCTGACACCAGTCCACTGAACTCCAATCTTTAGGCCCGCAAGCACTTCTTCTACTGGAAATACGTCAGCGACTGCACCTTGGCATTCATGGGATAAGGCAATAGCACGATTAATGTGGCAGTTGCACCTGTGCATGCAGAGCCCGTCATCATGATATTGTGTATGGTCCGGGATGGAATAGAACATGTTCTCTGATCTTAGCTTCAAAGTTTCGTGCGACCTTGCCATGCGTCGGTCTAGGCTTTTGGCTTTTGGTGTCGTTGCTACTTTTTCTGTTGGTTTTCCACTCTTTCTAAATATCCATTGTCGTCCATCTTGTTTTTGCTGCTCCTCGTGCACTTCTTGTTGTCGCAGTCGTTGAAGCTGTCTTTAAGCCGTATAGTCTATAGTTAAAAACCCCAGTCCTTAAACTAATAGTAGCTGCAACATGAACCCATCAGGGTGTAGGAATAAGGGTTTGAAATTTGTGCTGTAAAAGTACCACCTATAGACTGACAGGGCATGGACTCCCACTGGTAGCGTCGGACAGAAAGCGCGGACGTCCGAATGGTTGCGTCGGACAGAAAGCGCGGACGTCCGAATGGTTGCGTCGGACACAAAGCGCGGACGTCCGAATGGTTGCGTCGGACACAAAGCGCGGACGTCCGAATGGTTGCGTCGGACACAAAGCGCGGACGTCCGAATGGTTGCGTCGGACACAAAGCGCGGACGTCCGAATGGTTGCGTCGGACACAAAGCGCGGACGTCCGAATGGTTGCGTCGGACACAAAGCGCGGACGTCGAGCGTCGCACGTGGGACGCCCCAATGGTTTGGGACCTTCCAGGGAACTGGACCCCGCAAGCTGCAGGGTCCAACTCCCTGGCGTCCCGTGCGCAACGCCGGGGAGTTAAAGTCCGACCGGAGTTCATCTCCCTGGAAGCGGGCTGGTCCTTCCCGGGAGATGATCTCCGGTCGGACTTCATCTCCCTGGCGTTGCACGCGCGACGCCCGGGAGTCCGACCCCGCAGCTTGCAGGGTCCGGTTCCCTGGAGGGTCCCTCGACCTTCCAGGGAACCAAGATTGCAAATGGACCTGCCCACCGCCCACCTCATCATCCTGTGTCGGTCGCAGCGTGTGCATTCCCAAGGGTATAGCGTCGGACACAAAGCGCGGACGTCCGAATGGTCGCGTCGGACACAAAGCGCGGACGTCGGAATGGTCACGTCGGACACAAAGCGCGGACGTCGGAATGGTCGCGTCGGACACAAAGCGCGGACGTCGGAATGGTCACGTCGGACACAAAGCGCGGACGTCGGAATGGTCGCGTCGGACACAAAGCGCGGACGTCGGAATGGTCGCGTCGGACACAAAGCGCGGACGTCCGAATGGTCGCGTCGGACACAATGCGCGGACGTCGGAATGGTCGCGTCGGACACCAAGTGCGGACGTCCGAATGGTCGCGTCGGACAGAAAGCGCGGAAAAGCGCGGACGCCCCAGTGTAATTTCTCGCACCGTCCTCCAGCATCGATGCTAGTACAATGGTCCCGGTCCCCATGCCAATCTTGCCAGCCAACACCGACTGACGTACCTCACTAGCTACAGGAAGGTAGGCGTCTATACTTGGTGCCTTATGCCGTAGTTTAAAACCCCGGTCCTCAAGCAATAATCTGCAAGCCTGAACCCAATAGGGCTTATAGGACTTGTAAAGATAATGGTCACATTGGTGCTGCACAAGTACCACTTTATACGGTGCTGGCAAAGTAGTACCTAGATTAAGGCGGACCCCGAGTGCTAAAATTTGACTGCTGCAAAACTACCGACCAAGTACCTATGCTATGACGGACTCCAAGCGCTAAAGCTAAAATTTAACTGCTGCAAAAGTACCACTTAAGGTGCCGACAAAGTACCCTTGCTAAGACGGGCCCCAGCGCTAAAGTTTCAGTGCTGCAAAAGCGCCCCCCTCCTGTCCAGGAATCGGCTTTAGATATGATACCCTTAATGTGGCCAAACCTGCATATCCTGAGACCGATCTGCTGCCTCATGTGCGGAGGTCTGGTCTCCGGCTACCTTGGTGGCGGCTCTGGCCAGTTTTGGAGAGACTTAATGCGAGAGTGCAGGAATGCCGCTGTTTAAGTGGACTACACGTGCCAGTCTCCAACACTTGCTTGTATGCTGTCGCTGTTTCGATGCCTGCGCGTATGCTGTAATAGCATGAAGCGGTTGATCGTCTTTCGAAAGCTGCGATCTGGTTGATCGACTAGTAACTACATTCTCAGATCGGATTCATCAGTGTCAGTTCGGATTCTAGGGCTGTTCTATTGGTTTGAAGCACATAGTGATCACAATGGCAGCAGAAGACTTGGCACCAGCATTGGCCCGCCAAACGCCAGCGTGGGCAACCGAACTGCTGCAGTTGGCTAAGACCTCCTTCGTCAAGAACGATCCCAAAAATTGGGAGGAATGCAAGGTAGACGGTGACTTCACGAAGGAGGTCCCCCTGTGGGTCCTCGACTTTGAGGCCATGCCGATTCCGAGCGTCTTTCCTTTGTTGACGGCGGTGAAGCACGCTAAGGACCAATGGTTCGGAGACAGATCGGATCAAAGCTTCTCCTTCCCTCCGCCGGGGATGGTCCTGGAGGTCGCCAAATACAGAAAGCAGCTGACAGATTCGGATTGCGGGAAACTTCAACGTGCAAATCTGGACATTGTATTTTTCGCGTGGTTGCTGAAGTTCAAGGAGGTGTCGGAAGCAAAAGAAAGCAAGTACGTGGCCATGTTCAGGAAGGCTGCGCTGCGCGTCCTGATGACCGTGCGGTATGTCGAGAATGAGGCTACGAAACTTGCGCGTGCATATCAGCTACGCGAGGATGAGGAAAAGAATGCCACCATTGCCGGCCACTCTTTGCTTTCAAGGGCTCGGGAACTGAATTCCATTCAGGAGTGTTCAGTCTAAAGAAGTTGCCGTGTTACAGTCACTATGTTTGCTGTGCAGTCTTCGAGAATCTAAGCATTCGCGAGGAGCATCTGCTGAAGAATGCTTCAAGCGGAGCTGCCACAAACCTGGTGGACTACATGGCCCAGCACAAGATTGTGTATGGCACTTCCGATTCGACGCTTTCGGTTGGCACCATCCGGCTTCATCTCCGAGTGCTCCGTCGCCTTTCCCTGGCAATGGTGGACAGCGGCACACCGGCCTACGAAGGCAGTGCCTTGTATTGGTTTGACAGGAACGAGGAACTTTGGGGAAGGAAGGGCATCCAAGTGACTTTGCAAGAAAATGCAAGAAATTTCGATGCTTTTCAAGCAGCTCTCCCCAACTTGGATGACCTGCGAGATGCATCCATGAATTTGCACATCTTGCTTCTTCGTGGCAACAACATCAAGCTGAGCGGCAGGGGCATTGGAGATCTGGCCCGAGCTCTGGTACTCTATTCCAGGGTTCCAACAGCCCTCCTGCCACGCTTCGAGAAGTATGCTGAGTTGCTCAAGCCCTTCGCCTCCCTTCGCGAGTTCCATCGGGAATTTCCGGTTGGAATGGAGGAAGGGCTGCCCAAACCTAAGTTTTAAACTGATTTCCATTTTGCAAGCTTTAGATCCGGACGCAGGAGAACGGCTCGCCAGCTGTGAGGGACATCACCTACCCGATGTTTGCCCAGGAATCAGCGGACAAACTGACCACTCAAGTCCTTATTCCTCTCTTCAACTACAAAAAGCACGGCGCCTTGATGGGAGGTGGCTCTGCCCTCGGCGTGGTGTTTGTAAAACAGTTGCTGCCGGAACTCGAAGCAATGTACGCGCAAGAGCAAGCTCGGCAGTCGATGGCGCAGGGCATCTCCTCTGTGTCCGCGGTTCCCCCGGCAGATTCCCAGTCGGAGGAGCCGGTGTCTGAGGAAGAGGTTGGCGGAATTTGGGGTTAAATCAGTGGGCCCGTCATGTCAGCTCTATAGAGTGTTTTGTCTTTGGCAGGCTGCTGCCTTAAAAAAGGCTTTCGACGAGAAGCAGATGGAACTCCTGAATTCCATGGCACAGGAGTTCCTGAACAGCAACGTCCTGCTGTTGAGCTGGACCAATCCTTCGCTCATGGATGCTTTGTGTGGGCATCCCCTCACAAAAGATGGAGCCTCCAAGCTGTTCTGCTGGCAGGCAGGTCTGGACGCGACCACGGGCCCCACTGGCCGCACCTCGATCTTTCGAATGAAGGCGGCCGCGGACGAGACCCGCATGGATTCTTCGATAGACATGATGGCGAAGCTCATGCGGGATTTGGACAGTGGGCTCTTCTTCAGTGGGCGGAACACCCTGATCGCCAAGGACCTGAAAAAGAAGCTTCAGGCCTTGAAACCCAAGGTTGGGCTGAAGGAGATGCAGATCAGTCCGGACGAAGAGGTCCTGTTGCGGCTACTCCATGGGGAGGGACGGAATCAATACGCTTCCCTGGATCCGGTTCTTCGATTGCAAGGAAAGGTCAGGAGTTCCACTAATGTTGGTAACTAGTATTCAGCCCGCGGATGCCCAGGCAGAGATCTACTTCCATATCGTCAAGACTTCCAAATGCTGGAAAGATCGACGCCCGGCCGCCAGGCGATTTGTGTCTGGAAATACCGCTTTCCGGACCATGCAGAATGCCCCCATTTTAGAGACCGCCGCTATGCACAAGGTGTCGTCGAAGGAACGGGATGCGGTGTTCAGGAACGTCATCGGCTCAGATCGCTGGAGCCCTGGAGTTGGGAGAAAGAGTGCTGGCGGAGGGGCAGCCTCGGCGACTACGGCCGATCGCGAGAGCGAGTCGGAGGAGGGCGGCGAGGAGAACCCGCTTGCAGGCTGCACCGATGCTGAGGGCAACGTGGTGCTATTCCATATGGAACTTCACCCCAAAGTCCTCGCGCAGCTGCTCTGGGAAAATCAAGCACGCGTCTTGATTGACTTTTCCCCTGGAAGTGCGATGATGGCGCGTACGGCGCTCTCCATGGGCGTGAAGGTTATCCTCATCGGCCTCAACGATGCCCACGTGGGTGTTCTGCGGAAGATGTTGACCCAGTTCATCAGAGCCAACATTGATGCTGACATGGCCGGATTTGCCCCCAGCGACAAAATGGAAAAGCTGCAGCAGCTGAAGCCGGCCAGACTCAAGCTGCACGAGAGTCGCAGAGGCATCGCCGAGATGAGCCCGCCTTTGCCCGGCGCTGGCAAAGCAACATTCGAAAAGACCATGTCTGCTGCGATCGATGCCCTCCAGACGGGTGCCAACTTGCCGCCGGCGAAGCGGCAGCGGACCGAGCCGAAGCCAGCACCACCGAAGCCTTCGACACCTGCGGTGCCGAAGCCCAAGCCGCCGGCTGATCCGAAGGCGAAGGCGCCTGCTGCAAAAGTGCAGCCTGCACCTACACCAGCAACTGGTGCTGCTCCAAGCGAATCTGTTGCTGATTTGCTGAACATGTTTAGCTGAAACCATGTGTGACGCAGAAGGCTGTCAACCGCGGCTTATTTTCCATGAGTGTGGAAGGGCACACTCATTTCTCGAGCTTTGCTGGGGTCCAGTTTATAGAGGGGCTCAGGGCTTTGGCAGGGTCCAACGTCGGAAGTGTAATTACATCCTTCATCTCGGGGTGTGCTTTGAGCTCTTGGACGCAGCATCCGTGAAAGAGGCACTGGGCTTTTTGCAAGCTGCCTGTACATGTGGGGAGAGACTACATGTGTAGGCTGCCTCCTGTCTTGCAGGCTGCTAAACAACAATTTGTGAAATCAGGCAACAACGGCTTCGATACTATATCTAGAGACAGAGACCTTCTCAGCCTGCTTGCCGCCGCTCCCAAGCACAGACCGTATCCCTGGCATGTCGCCTGAACCTGGGAGCCGAAAAAAAAGATGAGACATGTTGCAGCGTTCTGTTCCAGCTGGTTGCAGCAGTTGGCCCTTGCATGAGTGAGCTTGGGATGTTCGTGCGTGTGCCAGGCGAGGAAGCTGGAGCTACAAACAACAATGAGGCAGGCTGCAGCTTTCAGGCCATCCAGAACAGTTTGCACAAGGATCTTTGAAGTTAATGTCCTTCACTATTCACTGCTATCGTTCAGTTCTATTCGTGCCTAGGAGCACTAGACCAGCTTGCTTTTGCACGTGGGCTACTTGGTCTAGGGATGAAGACTGTGCAGAACGCTGGCGGCTCGAGTTGTTTTGCTGCGGTCACTCTTGAGTTTGTTCCGCTAGATCTCAGGGCCATGTTGCGATGCTTGTTCGTGGCTGCACTGAGCGCATGCGTGAGCGGTGGTGCTGATTTCCCTGACTATGACTTGGAAACCCTGCAAGCGCGAGGGAATGCTTGGAGGTATCCCAGAGCCGTTTTTGCCGATTGGACGAAGCCGAGCATGACGAGGCCCGGGCCAGAAGAGAGACCGTTCTTATGGACAGTGCCACAGGCCGTGAAAGACGTCCTGCCCAAGGGCATCCGAACGATCTTCAATTGCCCAGAGGATCAACCTTTTCAGGTTGTCCGTAACTTAGACGTTGCGGACTTGTTCGCAGGAACAGCCCGGATTGCTCGCTGGGCGGAGCTGCTTT